CCCCACCAGGGTCAACCCTATCGTTGTTACTCTTCGGAAATTTTTTACGACCCCCCCCCCTTCAGGGGTGGTTTGATACGACCCCCCTTTGTATGTAACACTTGTGTAGAGACAGTGTTTACCATCAATATTTATTTCTACGTAAGTCATTAAAGATGAAACTTTAGCAAAATCCACGACAGAAATTCATCGCTGCTTGCAAACACGAAAAAATGAGATGCATTCAAAGATATCCGTGTACTCCAAAGGGTTACCAAACTAGGAGATGAAATAAGCTGAACCAGTGACCGTAATATTGACAATATTACCTGATGAAAACTTATGAGAAGTCAGAAAAAATTATCGCTCCAATTGAAATACTGAGATCCATCACTCTTCACTTGCAACACAATTTTTACACCCCTCTTTCCTAAGGCTATAACTTCCTTCATATTCGAGCTTCTGCGCCGAAGTGATTTGATTTGGAAAATTCAAATTATTCTCTCTCCAACCATGGGTAAAAATTCTTCGAAAGTTAATTTAATAAAAATTTAGTACGTTGTTACTTTTTTCTGTGCAAAGCGACTTTTTGACCTTCAAATCATAACTTCCTTCAAAGTCATTCATTTGGGAAGCTGAACACGTATAATAAACTACAGGATTCAAGCTTTCTAACGAGCACCCAAGCGTTCCTGAAAGATCAGCAGTTCAAAAATTAGTCCCGTTGTTACTTTTTATTTTGAGGGGTATTCTTCAAGCCATTTTCTCGAAAACGCGAGTTTTCTTAGGTTTCACTGCCCGTAACTTCTTGGAAGACCAATTTTATGTTTAATTAGGATGTGCTAGAAAGCTCCGAGCATGCGCTTGCACTACATCCCTTGCCTTGGTGCGCGCCACGCCTCGGGCGCCCTTCTAATTCGCTGATTCATTTGAAAGCTCATTTAGAGGGAATCGTGGTTTATAGATGCTCTAGTATCAGTCATCTTACGAAAACGTAACGTGCTGGCTATTATCCGATATTACCAAGAATCCCACTGTCGGCCACCGAGAGGGTACGACCCCCCCCCCAAGCTCAACTGAGTACGACCCCCCCGTTGTTACTCGTAACAACGTAGGGTTGACCCTGCCCCACCCGTTAATTCTTTTTCACTGGCTCAACTTCCGTTGACGCTTTGCACATTTCTGGTAAAATTTCTATCCGTTTATATTAATAATAAATAAAGTTCTGCGCTCACAAAATTTGTTTCTAGTAACTACCACGGCTAACTGTATAGTGTACTTCCGCAAACGGGCCTGATTTTCCTGATTTTCATTTTGTGCCCTTACGATATGCCTCGGGAGACTGCATGGGGACATCTTTGGATCAATTTCTGCGTTGTAGAATAGGGAAATTGGCTGAAATTGCATTTATCTCAGCTGTCCCAAATCACCCCCACCAACGCAAATCGCCCTATCGCGTTAATGTTCCTTTTTGAAGAAGATGCTTTTATGGACATTTAGCTTGCTGTGTGCAAAAATATGAGTGGTAGTGAGCAATGTGACATCGTCTGCCGAACTCACAACATGCAAATCTCTGTCAAGAGTTATAAATCGATGGCGCAAATTGAGTTAACTGCGCGACTGGAGTGACTTTGGAGAGTCAGTGTGTATCTGCTTTGGACGGATTCTCGAAGAGAAAGTTGCAATTATCTGTCTTCGTCGGACACTTCCAGTTAAAGACTTAAAATGAGGCATGGCATAACTTCCTAATGACATGTGGGCTGTTTTCGATCTATTCGGTCGCTTTCTGGACCGTAACAGCCCCTGGAGAAGTGGTCAATATCAATTCTTCATCATGAAACATTATCGAATTTCATCAAAGGTAGTGGGTCAGATTGCAGCAGCATCATGAAAGAGAGCCAAAGTGGGGAATCCTTTGACGGGAAGGCGTCATGGGTGAGACTGAGACCGTAATTCGGAAGGGGGATGACTTAGTTTAGTTTTCTTCGCACAAGCAAAAGAACTGCGAAAGAGACTTCTTTCTGAAGTTACGTGAAACGGGGCCTACGAGAGATGGGAGGAGGTACGCTCGTCAGACATGTAAGTCGAACGTTGATCGGCGTTTTCATCGGCTCGGGAGGGGGTTTTTTGAAGATGGATTTCACGGATTTTGCAAGAAATTTTTCGAGCATTCAGAGATTTTTATGAAGATAGCGGAACTTCCTCATTTTCATTGTACAGTATAGCATCTTCCCCACTAGGGTCAACCCTATCGTTGTTACTTTTTGAAAATTTTTTACGACCCCCTCCCCAAGGTGGATTTGATACGACCCCTTTTCCACACCTCGAGCATCATCGTCTCCATAGTAGTGGGGAGGGGGCGCTGAAACGGCCCATTTTTTCGCCCCTCAACTCACCAGCCTAGCCTACCTACCCATAAAAACTTCAGTTTCACCTCAAACTCACATGTGATTTCAAGCGACTGAAACGGGTACGACCCCCTCCTACAAACTCAACCACGGGTACGACCCCCTCCTACAAACTCAACCAAGTACGACCTCCCCGTTGTTACTAGTAACAACGCATGGTTGACCCTGTTCCCCACCCACTACCACCACAGCTCCGCTCTGTCAAGAGAACTGTGGTAAATTTTCTGTGGAATAGAAGAGTATTGGAGTGAAACGTGAAGAAAGAGCGCGACTATAAGGGCACTGACTTACATATATTAAATAACATTAGTATTTACGTAGAATTATACATCTCGTTCTCATTTCATGTACGAGCACGAACAACAAAGCATTCGCTCCCATTTTTCTGTCTTCTGCGATCGTTGTCCACGGTTGACCCAAGAGTCAACGAAGACGCCACTAAGGAATCGTTTAGCTCACACTGGCCAACAAGTGTATCCCCCAACCCATCTCGTAGCAGCGCGAGAGCGAAGTCGAGCTAGATGTTTAGCGGACAGATCAAATCTGATTAACTTACGCCGAGGGCTACCATTTGTGGGATGCATCAGCTTTGAGGAAGGTAGTACTTTTTTGGAAAAATTCCTTTGATACCCGGAGGTCATCAGCTTTGATGTGACTGGAAGAAGACGCTTGGACGGCGAAGTAATCACCATTGTATTGTTATATCTCATAAACAACGTTTTAGCTACCTTCCAGGGTTGTGAAGGAGTATTGGGCTACATTGAAGTACAGCGAGTTAGGGTGGTGAATCGATGCTTCTCTCACTTTTTGCGGTACAAGCCTAGTATCAATTGATCGACCCCGGATGGAAGGCCTTTTTGGCGAAGGCTAGGTTCGATCCGAGATTTGACCTCTGTATAGTGTACGTCGTGTCAAATTCCACTACGTACGCCGCCTCCACCCTTAAAGGAATCCTTCGCGGAAAATTCTTGCATTCTTAACATGAATGTGTCAGTTGTGATCACTAGAAACAGCACACAAAGTTTCACGCATGAAGGTTCGGTTTCCGAAGAGAAACAAACTCACGAAAATCCATTCTATGGACAATCGAAGGTAATTCGGGCGGAGCCAAATGGAATAAGTCCGCACTGGGGCGCCTACGTATCAGGCGACGCAATGAAAGAATCGGGTTAAAGCGTGCGATTCGGGAGGATTGGAGACAATCGTATCAATGGAGTAGGAGGCGTGTGTGTGTGTGAGTAAAGTGTAAGATGTGAACAGAATAAAGCAAAAGACCAGAAAGAGCTTCTAGTGACGGCACTCCAAAAACCAAGTGGAAGCATCCTCGTCGAAAGCATTTGTGACAGATGTGCGGCGGTAACTTGAACGCGTAGAAGACTTTCGGTTTTTCGAATTTTTTCACCACAACAAATGCAATTTCTCTGCCCTTTTCGTTCTTATTGTGGATGACGGGTCTCAAGCCAGTGAATTATGACTGAAATTGAGTCATGATTTTCCCGTGAAGGATGTGTGTGTGTGTGGTGGTGCCTGGACCGCGCACTTTTTGCACTCACGGCCGCATGCTGCGCGGCAAGCATAAATATCATATATTTAATCTGTATTCCCACTAAAGCCATTATTTTGTCTCGTTTATGTCTTTGTCATGTCTCGAAGAATATATAAGATTAATTTGACAGAAAACTGTTTGTAAAAAAAGTGAAAGGGCCATAAAAAGGGAGGAAGGGACGAAAATTGTTCAAAATAAGTTGGTATGGAGAAA